GATTCCCCCAGAGGAGCTGGTCCAAGTGGCTGGAGAGAGGGAAGTCTGGGTCTCTCTGCTTAGACTGCTGACCCTGCGACCCAATCCTGGATAAGCGGCAGAAAAGGGACGGACAGACATCTGATTGGACGAGCAAAAAAGGGGCATTACTCAAGGCATATACTGTACCTGATTGGTTGATCATTGCTTAGGCGTTTCTTCACATCGTTAGCTTACTTTTCTAGCATTGGACTTTCATTTATTTCTTTAGTTTTGTGAACATGCCGTTGTTAACGAGGTCATCAGAAGACTTGGGAAAAATAATGGCCAGCAGATTATGTTAACCAGCCATTATTACATGTTTATATGATTGCCAGTGTCAGACTCAACATCTTCACTCATTATTTCTGCTTCTCTTAACAAAGAAAGGGTCACATTTCAAAATAAGAGCAGATGTTTTTTTAGATGTTTAGAAATAGGGAGAACTAAATTTTTATTTTTAATGATACATTGCGATTTGATATAAAAACATTTCTGACTGTGGAAATTACTGTGAAAGTTGTTAGTCAAAAGTGAAAGAAAAATGAAAGAGAGGAACCAAGCTTTTCTAAAAACAGAGCAAATAAAACAGAAATGCCTACTTTGTGTCTGCAGAGAATGCCTTCTCTTCCGTCTCGGTCCCTCTRTCTCCTCCCCACTCCTCATTCTTTTTCTCCTGTGTTTCTTGTGGTTTTCTTGTCAGGACAGGTAGAAGATGAAAAGAAAAATGTTGCAAAGGACACAGGGAGGTGCAACAAAACTACATAAAGAAAGTAAATTTGCAGGAAACGTTGCCAAATGTGTTACAGATGAAGGCTGGCTGTAGCTTCTTGTCGTACAGCAGCAGAGGTAAGTCAGAGTGTACCTGACGACGTGGACTAATGTTAGCTTAAAAAGGAGGCTGTGATTTRTGCAGGTAAGTGTGTGAACATATAGGTTATCAGATCTGTTGTAAAATTAAGATAAAACCAAAAAGTCATGACTCATCACGCATCGGTAGTTTTAGTCTACATGAAATAAATGCACAACCCCAATGAAGTTGGAACATTATGAAAAACATATAAAATCAAAATACGAGGATTTACAAATCCTATTCAACCTATTGATACACTACAAAGACAACATATATAAACTAATCCAAATATGCAGTAATAATATACAGTATATATATAATGCAGTATATGGTGTTATCTGTCCAAGATGAAAGGTGATTATACTGCACTGGCATTTCAATGAGGAAATCTTTACTACTCGTTGGTTTGACTTGTGTTTTACTTGATTGATGTATCAGTCCAGTCAATCTAAAACGTGATTTCYTCACTTTAATGTCACTTAAATATGTCGACATATTTAGGAGAATCAGATACAGGAATCACGTTTTTTAATCCTTTATTTACCCAGATAAAAACGCACTGAGATCAAGACCTCTTTCACAATGATGACCTGACCAAGATAGGCAGCAGCACACGTCACAAAAAACAAAAAAGTTACAAAGTATACATTAAAACAGCCAACAATAATGAAAGATAATGTTATGACAATGACAATCAAATACCATGAACAATTCAGGATTTAAAACACAGGCATTGTTGATATAATTGTTGTCGTTCTTTTAAAATCTTTTTAAAAGCACTCAGTGGAACAAACTGGCACTGTTAATTCAYCCTGCAAGGCATAGAGGTGGAAACGATCGTTGGAGAGCAGGGCATAGYTGCTATCTGTTCTCTGAAGGAAAGTGCAGAGATAATTAGGAAGCAGACCCYTTAGAGACGTATACACCAGGGTCATTCAGTGTGTGTATCGCCTGACATGCAGGGAGGACATGCCAGCTTTTGCATACAGATCACAATGATGCGTGAGCTGGCTTCACTCAGTGATGAATCCAGGGGTGTTACTAGGTTTTAAGGACAAGGGGGGCTTGGCCCCCAGGAAACACACAGAATTTTTGTATACTATATATTTGTAATGTG